TTCCATGGCTTGTAGCCGCATCACTCCAGTCTCTGCCTCCACATCCACATGGCCTTCTTCCCTGTGTCTCGTCTCTTCTTATAAGGAACACGAGGCATTGGATTAGGGCCCACCCTAATGGGCTCATCTTAACTTAATTACATCTGCAAGGACCTTATTTCCAAATAAGGTCACATTCACAGGTACTAGGAGTTTGGACTTCAACATATCTTTTTGTGAGTTCAACGCACAACACCTTGTCTGTGTCTATGTCTCCTTTTCTGTCTCTTATAGGGACATAATCATTGGATTCAGGACACAGCCGGATACTCCAGGATAATCTCATCCTGAGATCCTTACCTCAGTTACATCTGCATTGACCCCATTCCAAATAAGGTCACATTCTGAGGTTCTGGTGGACATGAATTCTGGGGGGAAGAGGAGGGGCACTCTAGACCCTCCTATAACTCACTACAGGGATATTGATCCCTACATTACGTGTGGTTGAAAGCCTGGGCTCTGATTGCTGAAGAAGCCTTGAGGATGGAGTGAAGGCATGGAGTTGCCTGGGACAAAATAGTACCTCAGTAAATACATGGAGTGGGGGAGGTTGTTATTGTAATGTAACCAAAAGTACCCAACACAACCTCAATGCCTGGGAGGCCTTCAGGCCACATTTGCTAGAACGTACACTCCAGGAGGGCAGGAGTTCCTTCACCCACGTCTGTTTATTGAGCAGCTACTGTGTATCAGGCACAGCACCACACACTGGGGCATCAGGAGCAGATAAGGCTGATGAGGTCCCTGTACTCATGGAAGGATTAAGATCAAGTCAACTTGTTGAGGGCATTGATAGTGTGTGTGTGTGTGTATATATATATGGCATTTATGTCAATAGCTTCACACACATAGTCTATGGCATGGAAAGGCCAGACATTCAGATTTGACAAATTAGGGACAAAAGGTGGCCAATCTCTAGATAGAAAGTGGCACTTTACAAACAAATACCCAAAACCTGAACTGATCGTTCCTTTTATGAATCTTCTGGTTAATAGATCACATATTGTAGCCTTGTCCTCTCACGTTCACACTGAGTGGGGTTTAGATGGATTCAAGGCAGTGGTTTACAGAGAGTCATTGGTGCGAGCTCTGGCCGTGCGAGCTGAGTAGCTGTGTCCTACGACTTAATCCTGAGGTCGTTCTCCAGAAAATGAAACTAGTGGGGAGAGAAGGAATCGAGATGATGCAATAAGTTGTCACACCAGGAGACACCCAGGTTCTCACTCAGGGGGTGTGGCTGTGGACGATTATGACAATATTAGCATAAAGATAGAACCTAACTATTTATAAAGATTCTAGGGCCGGCCCTGTGGCTTGGTGGTTAAGTGCGCGCACTGCAATGCTGGTGGCCCGGGTTCGGATCCCGGGTGCGCATAGAGGCACCACTTCTCTGTCCATCCTGAGGCCGAGTCCCACATACAGCAACTAGAAGGATGTGCAGCTATGACATACAACTATCTACTGGGGCTTTGGGGGGAAAAAATTAAATAAATAAAATCTTTAAAAAAAAAAAAAAAAAAGATTCTAAAGACTTTAAGAGGATAGTACAAAGTGTAAGAATTTGACTACTAGCCATTAATCCTGTACCCCTGGTGCTTTTTATGAACTTATTTTTTAAGAACTAGACCCCCCCCTTTATTTTAATGTGGGATTTTTAAAATACTTTTTATCTTGAAAGAGTTGAAGACTCATAAGAAATTGCAAAAATGATACAAAAAAGTTCCCGGTCCCCTCTACCCAGCATCTTCCAATGACAATATCTTACATAAAGATAGCTCATTATTAAAACCAGGAAATTGACATTGGTGCAATACTGTTAACACCAACTACAGACTTGATTCAGCAATTTTTACATGCACTTTAAAAATATAGTTCTATGAAATTTTATAATGTGTGTGTAGATTTGAGTAACCACCACCACAATCAGGATATGAAATGGTTCTGGTACCCCAAAGAAACTCCTGGCTGATCCCCTCTATAGTTAGACCCTCCTCCAGACCCTAACTCCTGACGACCACCAATCTCCTCTCTGTCACTCATCACTGTGGTTTTGTCATGCGGAGAATGGTATATAAATGGAATCATACAGTATGTAACCTTCTGAGATGGACTGTTTTCACTCAGCGTGACACCCTTGAGATCCATCTGGGTTGTGCGTGTATCTCTAGGTCACTCCCTTTTCCGTGCTGAGTAGTATTCCATGACCCAGATCAACCACAGTTTGTTTATCCCTTCACCCATCGACGTCATCTGGGTTGTTTACAAATAAAGCTGCCATGAACATTTGCAGGCATACCTGTGTGAGCACCAAATTTCCTTTTTCAAACAAAATCTTGTGCTGCACTCTGAGATGAAGCAGTCCACACAGGTGTGCTCTGGTTGAAATGGGGCAGAGAACCCACAACATATCCACTTGGTCTCTCCTTTGCCCCTACAAGCCCTCAGAGTTGGGAACACAGTTTGAAAACCATCGCTCTTGGGAGCCCATCCTTCTAGCTGTGGATGGAAGATCTTGGGTTATTGGGACTATAGGACATCAGGACACCAGCCAGCTCATTCCTCTCTCTCTGCATGGTGTTCAACATTGCTGCACATAGGAATCACCCAGGAGTATTAAAAAATCTGCCAGCCCAGCCACACACCAGACTGCCCAGCTGAGACACTTTGGGGTGGGACACAGGTGTCAGGAGTTTGTCAAGTCCCCTGGTAGTGCAGCTGAGTGGGAGACCCCTGTAGTGGAGCCATCTCCTTGAGGGATGGGCTGCCTATTTCTATTGGCCAAGTAAGACCATTCTTTTGTATTTTGTTTCCTTGGATTTATAGGAACACTCAATTTAGTATTATTTATAAATGTGTATCCTCAGTTGCAGAAACTGAAATATTACATTTTTTCTTCGTTATCCTTTTATTTTATTGTTTAAGAGCTTTATTGAGATATAATTCACATACCAGCCAATTCACTCATTTAAAGCATCCCATTCACTGGTTTTTAGTAAATTCACAGGACTGTGCAACCATCATCTCCAAAAGAAACCCATATCCTTTGGCTGTCATCCTCCCATCTCTCCCTTTCCTTCCAGCTCTAATCAACCTCTAATCTACTTCCTGTTATTCAATGTGAAAATTGAATAAAATACCAAGACCAAAATAGAGTGGAGTCCGCAGGGTGGTGGGAGCCCAGAGGTGGGAGTGACTGACTCAGCAGAGCAAGGAAGCCTTCCTGGAAGAGGTGGCATTTGTGCTTAGCTGTTTCTGCTTTTGTGTCCTTGTTCCTTCTGTGCTGCCAGCTTGGAATGACCTCTCTTCCTCCTCACTCTGTTCATATAATTCTACCTTTGAGGACTGCCTTCTCTGGCTTTGCTCATCACTCTTCCTATACCCCTGCACACACATGTGCATGCCCTGTGCCTTCCCCATCGGTACCAACACCCAGTGGCTTCCTTCTGCCCTGGTGGCACTCTCCCAGCAAGACAGGGCTCAGGAGCTCTTCACCTTCACCGTTCAAGTCCCTTCTGCTGTGCCTTCCCATCTGGGGCCAGGCATAGTTCTTTTCCCAGCAAATGAACATTCTCCATACAAGGGAGGGAGCACCACTCAACAACAAAAAGACAACCCAATTTTTTGAAAATGGGCTAAGGACTTGAACAGACATTTCTCCAAAGAAGATACAGGAATGGCCAATGAGCACATGAAAAGATGCTCAACATCACTAATCATTAGGGAAACGCAAATCAACACCGTGATGAGACACACCTCACACCCATCAGGATAGCTATTACTATAGCACAGAAAACAAGTGTTAGAGAGAATATGGAGAAGGTAGAACCCTTGTGCACTGCTGCTGGGAATGTAAAATGGTGCAGCCACTGTGGGAAACAGTCTGACAGTTCCTCAAAAAATTAAACAGAATTACCATTTGATCCAGCAATTCCACTTCTAGGTGTATACCTAAAAGAACTGAAAACAGGGGCTCCAATATTTGTACACTTGTATTCTTAGCAGCATTATTCACAGTGGCCAACGGGTAGAAACAACCCAAATGTCCCTTGGTGAGTGAATGGATAACACAAGGTGGTCTGTCCATACAGTGGCCTATTATTCAGCCTTAAAAACGATGGAGAAGCTGACACCTGCTGCAACATGGATGAACCTTGAGCACACTATGCTCAGTGAAATAGGCCAGTCACCAAAGGACAGATACTGTGTGATCCCACTTACACGAGGGCCCTAGAGGAGTCAGACTCACAGAGACAGAAAGTAGAACAGTGGGCACCAGGGGCTGGGGGAGGGGGAGGGGAAGTGAGTGTTAAATGGGGACAGAGTTTCAGTTTCACAAGATGAAAAATTTCTGGAGATGGATGGTGGTGATGGCTCTACAACAATGTGGGTGTGCTTAATGCCACTGAACTGGACACTTAGAAATGGTTAAAGTGGTACATTTTCTGTATATTTTACCACAATCAAAAAAATTTTTAGAGGGAGAGACCAAGGGTACAGGCGTAAGCGTGTAGGGATCTTGGCGTGAGCCCAGGGAGCAGCCGCATCAGAGGCAGGAGTTGCCAGCTGCACGCGCCCCATCTCTCCCAGCCTTCGTCTTCCCATGGGGATAGTGAGAGTGATCGCTTGGCTGCAGTTATCTATGAGGATTTAACGGGTCCCTCCTACAAATGCTAAACCCAGTGTCTGAGACCTGGGAGTGCCTGCTAGATGTAACCTGGCCTTATGGTCATTGCCACCTCTCTGAGCATGGAGGAAAGAGCTCCAACCTAGCTCTGCCTTTTCTCTGTGTGATCTTGGGCTTCTGTGCAGCCTCTCTGAACCATGCTTCTTCCTCTGAAATGGGCAAGCTGCGAGGCATTGGGTGGATGGCAGCCAAATTAGGGCGGGCTCACCAGAGAGCATGAGTGCAAAGCGTGTCCTTGGCACCCTGGTGACAGTGGGGGACACCCCTGTTCTCCCAGGAGCAGTCGAGCTGTCCCGGCACCACCCCATGGCATCCTGGCTGTGCGCCATGCTGCACTGCTTCGGAAGTTACATCTTGGCTGATCTGCTCCTCGGGGAGCCCCTAATCGACTCCTTTGGCAACAACTCCAGCATCCTACTGGCCTCAGCTGTCTGGTAAGCATCGCCAGGCTGGTGGGGCATGGGAGAGCGGAGCCGGGGGCAGGGGTGAGCCGGCCACCCAGGAAGTGGGAGGTGGCCCTGAACGCCCCGCCCTCTACTGCCCAGTTCTGTCCTGAGCCTCGCAAGTCGGGGAGGAGGGTCTGGACAGAATCTACCCTGTTGGGGGGCCCCCATGGTCTGCCCCTCCCCCCCACACACACTGCATTCTCTCCCCAAAGGTACTTGGTTTTCTTCTGCCCCCTGGACCTCTTTTACAAGTGTGTCTGCTTCCTGCCGGTAAAACTCATCTTTGTGGCCATGAAGGAGGTGGTGAGGGTCCGCAAGATTGCCGTGGGCATCCATCACGCGCATCACCACTACCACCATGGGTGGTTCGTCATGATTGCCACTGGCTGGGTCAAAGGTAAACAGAACCACGACGACAACAGAAAATCACCCTGGCTGAGAACCCTTGCTCAGTGGTACATCTCGGGCACTCCAGCTGGCACAGCCATTGCTCCAGGCTGTGGGGTGTCAGGACTACTGTAGGAGTCCAGCCTCCCCATAGCCCATACCTTTAGGGTAAATGGGAAGATTCTTCCAGAAACTTTTTTTTTTGTTTTTTGGGTTTTTTTGTGAGGAAGTTCAGCCCTGAGCTAACATCTGCCAATCTTCCTCTTTTTTTTTCTTTCTTTTTTTTTTTTTTTTTTGCTGGGGAAGACTGGCCCTGGGCTAACACCCATGCCCATCTTCCTCTACTTTATATGGGACACCGCCACAGCATGGCTTGACCAGCGGTG